GGAGCTGCTTAGGAGTGCACAGAGATGATGGCTTGGGTGGCAGCTGCTACTGTGGAGATGGAAATGATCCTTTGTAAAACAAATACATGCTGTATAGAAAAAGGGATGATTGTTTTTAATTTATTTTTCAAAGAGACACTGAAAAGTTGCTTAGCTCTAATGCATCTTAAACCAAATGTAACACATTTAAGGACAGTCATGTACTGCTGTTTTGGTGAATCAAAACTTGAAAAAGCCCACCATTTCGTAGGATTTGTGGAAATGTGATTCTTTTAGACATGGCATCTCCATAGAAAACAGATATTGGAATGATGCTGGCATGGGTGCTTGCTCAGATTCTACCACTGCAGCCTATTGATCTTGATAAATAGAGAGGTTGTTGCACTGGGCTGGTAAGCAAAAATAACTATGTTAATTTAATCACCGTGGAAAGGACTCTGCCAAGTTAAAAGAAACATAAATTTTAATTATCGGTAGACATGCATATTTGCATTGTACTATATGCACATATAGCTGTGACACCAATAATACCTTGGTTTATTTAAACAAGGAGAAGTTTTAAATGACATTTTTGTTTTCATTGATGAATTTTGTTGATTTACTCTTCTATTTTGCTTAGTTCTGGCTTTCAATGTATGCTATTCCCTGCATCTCCTACACTAAGCAGATGCTATTGCATTTGCAATACTAATCAAAAGGGAACTTAACTACAAACTGTCTTAAAACTGTTATATTAAAAAAGAGTAAGCTTTTAGGTATATGGCTTTTACTAGTAGTTATTACTTGTTATAAAGATTATGTTCTATGAAATTGCTATGTCTGAAAAAGAGTTTGTGATAAAAACTAGGAGTTACAATAGAATGAATTTAGAACAATTAGTGAGCAGCAAATGTTATTACCTATATTTAAACAGGATTTGGATGTGATTCAAGAATTTAAAGAGCCATAAATTCTACATGAACACTGGAGAAATTGATTGAAACAGTAATTAGGTGTAAGCAGTGAAGCACCTGGGAAATGATGATATAGGAGGTTCTGACTGACTTTTTTCCTCCCAAAGGAAAATCATATCTCACCACTCTTAAAATTCTCCACATGATATGTAAAGGATTATGAGATAAGGAGGTTGACAATTTACTTAGACTTTCTGAAGACCCTTGGTCTTCTCCAAAAATAAACAATGCATCGTCTCGGATCAAAACTTTTAGAATAAAATATGAAACAAAGAATTTTACCAAAAAAAAAAAGAAAAAGAAAAAAGCTAACAACCAGTGCATCAAGGTTTAGTCTTTGTTCCAGTGTTGTGTAATGTAGAAATGAAACACTTGGAGAGAGAGATTGAGCAGTTAGGTACAAAAATTTGCACATAGTACAAAGTTATCTGGAGCAATTGTGGGCAGGGGAGGCATTGTGTGTGAGGGCCTCTTAGTGGGGATCAGAATGTCCTTTGTGAATGGGCAGTGGGATGGACATTTTAATTTGCATTCGAAGTATCACCTGCTGGAAGTTCTTGTCCCTGTTACAAGATTGCTAATTCTACCTATTGTGCAGCTCTGGACACTGTTGAGGCAGTGGACACTGCCTTGGAGAGAATGCTGTGGACATTGTAAAGAACAGTTCAATGCATTTGTTTAAGTAGAGGATGTGGCTTCATCTGAATATGTTAGATGTGGTATTGGTCCATTGTGATGAGATTTTTGAAGAATGAGAGAAAGTTCAGAAAGATCTGACATGACAAAGTCACAGAAAAAGTCTCACAACAGGGTAATAGAAAAGATTGTGACTGTCTTTGAAAGGAAAGAAGTGGATGCTTTGGACGTTTTGAGGGACATGATTTAGTGAGAACTATTGGTGATAGGTGGATGGTTGGACTGGATGATCTCGTAGGTCTTTTCCAACCTTGATGTTTCTGTGATTCTGCGAAGTGGACAGAAATGGCAAAAAAGTTTGGCCAGGAACTTCTATTTTTCCCTATCTTATAGCAAGAACAAAGGGACAGACAATAAATAAAGTGAAATACTCCTTCTTTCAAACTGTAGTTCAGTTGCTGAACTCACTCTCATAGGAAGGCATTGAGGACAAAAGTGCATCAAAATTCAGAAAAGGATGGGCTATTCTGTGTATTTCCAAAGGAGCTAGATGTAGGATAACTGGAAGTGATACTGCATTTATCCCTCAGGTCAGACCTATTAGATAGTGTTGAACTATTTGTCTAGGTTAACTGAACCATCTTTTAGATTTTTGGACACTTTTATCTCTGAGGATTCAATAAATGTTTTGGAAATATATTTTCCTGACTTCATTACTGTCTCCCTTTAGAGACTAGCCATCTTCCAGGAAAGACTGAATTCATTACAGAAACAGAATTCATTACAAAGATGTCTGTGGACCTTCATAGGTTCTTAAGCTGTAAACTTTACACTTCAGGTAAGGCAGTCTGCCATTTCCCACTTTCTAGAGCTGCTTAGGAATGAAAATGGCCTGTAGAAGCTACTGGCAGAGAAGGAGATAAAAAGAAATTGAATAGCTGTTAGCTCAATGGGTACGTAGGAAGCAACTGTCCTGAGTTTCTTTTCCCAAGATTTCCTCCTTGCTACTTGGTTCTTGGATACCAAGTCTCTTCATCAATAAACTGGGTATAAAAATATTACCTTACACTACCTTGTCAATGGGATGTTAAATTTAATAATTGGAAAATGCTCTGAGACTTTTGGATGAAAATCTTCCTGGAGTGACAATGCTGGAAAGTAGCAGAGCCACACTAAATAAACATGCATTTTTAAAAGCAGTTGCCCTTTTTTGACCCTGAAGCCTACTTTTTTCCCATGAATGTTCAGTATTTCTGGAACTAATAGGAAGTAATTTTACTTTCATAAATGTTTTACTTCTCCCCTCTCTTTATTGCTCATTCCCTTTACTAATGCGTTTATTTTCTGGGTTTATCAGAGACAGGCATAGCTTGTCACAGTGAAGACACGTTTGTTACTGCTGCCCTTGAGCTTGCTTGAAGCTTCTTTACTTGATGAAAATATGATTATCAATTGGATTTTGCAGTCCTGGAAGGTTCACAATACAAAACAAGTGCCTTTTTGCACCTAAGTGCAGAACTTTGAAACCAGCCTAGCCTATGGCCAGAGATGATTGTGGAGGTTCCTTAGTGACTTGAGGTTCAAAGTAAATCAAGCCTGAAGTCCTTTCTTTCTATTGAAATGTTTGGATTTAGCATCCAGAGGGAAGTAGCAGGAGAATTTTGATCTTCATGATTCTCCACTGACTTGTCTTTTCTCTAGTCCAAATAAGGGAAAAGTTGGAGAAGGTGGCATAGTAGGGAGGGTGTTCAGAGCTTCATGCTAAAAACAGAGGCTTGATTAAATAGGCCTCCTCGTGATGAGAGGGGGTCATTTCTATTGATCCCCTCCCATTGTGTGGGCTGTCCTGGGAGTTTCCTCTGAAAATCCCAGTGGTTTGAATTTTCTGCATGGTTTGTACTCAGTCGCTCCCTCCATGAATAGAATAGCTTTTGCTGGAATTTTTGCTGGATTTTCTGTGGTTATTGGCTGAACAGTGTTCTCTCACTTCAGAAAACTTGAGCAAGCATGTTCTGGAAGCACTGATGAGGGACCCTGAGTAGTTTACTGGATTAGAGGTTTTTACGTAATGAGCAGGCATATTCCTGGGACACAATTGCCCCCAGGAAACAGATTATAATTTAGTGTCTTAGGTGGAAGTGTTCATTCATTATTTGGATTGCAGGAGTGATTTGGAGTTTTATAAACACATAAATTTATGTCCTACAGAGTTTACAACTCGTGGTGATAGAAAGGCAGGCCAGCCTCAAGCAGATCAGGAAACACAATACAGTCCTATAAGATGAAAAGTGAACAGAACTGTGAAATCAGGACACCAGATGCTGTTTTGTAAGCATCAATTCTATACATTATTGCTTGGTAAATATAGTGGCTAAGAGGAAGGAGTTAATTTTAGAAGGGAGGGAGAACTTGAGAAATCCATGCTTTGGCATTGTCAGGTAAAGAGACATTCAGGATGTCTTCCTGCCATAGGACTGCTCTGAATGAACACCTACGCAAGTAGGGTAGAGGCCAAGATCTGCAAGGAAAATGTAATTCTTTCCTGGGTGTATTTTAACATCTTGCTAAAATTAACATGCTATATTTGCCTGTCTGCTGCACCGTCTCATAATCTAGTGACAGAATTCCGAAGGGGATTCATGCTCTATACCTTCACTTGCATGGCAAGTTGCATCAAGCTTCCTCATGAACCATCTTTATCATTTGAAGTCCCATGCCTCAGGCCTGCCCCTGAGCCACCCGTTAGTTCTTAATGCCGTGGCTGAGGATCATCCAGCTACATGAGCTAGATTCTGTGCTTGTAACTGTTTGCTGGTGGTTCTTCTTTGTACAGTCCCATTTAGAACAAACTGAAGATTCTATCTAGTAAAAAATGGGAGTCAATATTCAATGAAAATTCAAGGCAAAAATTCCATTTGGTTGTTTTGTTTGTTTTTGAATTAGCCCCACATATTCCACTTCCCCATGTGGGGAACAAACCCTTCTGTAAGAAAATGCTGCTTGTAGCTGTTCCATTTCAATTCTGCCAGATGCTAAATGGCACGGAACTACTTCTCCACTTCAAAAGATCAGATCTTCATATTTGTTATTTCAGTGTCTTGGAAAGACTTGGTTTTGTTCTTCAGTTGAAACATAGGGAGTTTACATTAGGGAAGAGAATTTTTTTCCTCCTTTTATTTCCTCTTGATGTATTATGTCTGGCCCTCTTGTCCTGTAAGCAAACACAGCATTTCAAAAAAATAGCAGATTTTCAGCAAGATAGAAACAAATCCTTTAAGAGAATCCTTAGAGATCTGGAGGACTCTCCTTCAAGATAGAAGCAAGCTGGTTTGTTTGTTTGTCTTCTTCTTGTTGGCTCTACTTGTGAGCTGCCTGGGGAGATGCATGAAGCTGGTGTTTTTTGTTTTTCAGAAGTTGATCTGCCTCTCAAAAAAGATGGCTTCACATCAGAAAGTACAACACTGGAAGCATTGCTGCGTGGAGAGGGAATAGAGAAAAAGATGGACACTAAAGAGGAGGACCCTATACAAGAAATCCAGGTAAAGGAGATGCTTGTGCTCTGACAGTAGTACTAATTTTTATGATTTGTCTCTAAGCATAGCAGATTTTGTCCTGTTGCAGAATAGTTCATCTGTTGATAGTTGTGTCATTCTACTGTCAAAATGTTATCAAACCATTGTGCTACACTGTGATGCTCAAAATGAACTGAGGATCTCACTCTCTTCTTCTGTTATAGATATCTCAGTCACTTGGCTGTGTTCTGCTCAGCTTATGTGTTGCAATTTACAACAGTAGGAGACAATTGTATACAGAACGAACAAGTAGAGATGGGTCCGAACCATAAATCAAATTTTAGTGTCTCAGATTTAGAATGAGTTTGAACATGGGTTTGAAGCTGTATTTGCAGCAGTTGACTGTTAAAAAACAAACAAACAAACAAATACTGTTCTTTTGTCTGTTTTCAGTTGTACTGAGAATCCTTCTGGAAATATTTAAGCAAAATAAATAATTAAATACATCTAATGTTAATCATCTCAGTTATTATTAGTGATGAAAAATATTGCCTCTTTACATGCATTATGATTGGAAACTTGTAGGAGTATTTGTCAAGATTCCATTTCATCCTTTAACTGTATAAAAAGTAGAAACACATTTGTTGGTCTGTCACAGAAGGAATTCAGCTAATGTAAAGGATTCTTAAGGATCTCTTCCTTCACATAGACATCTTAAATTGCTAGGAAAGCAGGCTTCTCCCTTGGGAACAGCAGCAAATATTTGGTGATGATAAAACACCATTGCGCTCTGAATCTCTTCTAGTGATGTTTAGGGAGAATCATTAGCAATATGTCTATCTTTATCATTTTGGCTGAGATACAAGATGTTGCATCTATGCCTAAAACTAGTAAAAATTTGAGTGGGCAGACCCATGCCAAATAAAACAGAAATGTGCAGACTTCAAATATATATTGTGTAGAGATCAGTCCTATGGATCTATTTGCCAGTGTTCAACTGAACATGTAACGGCAGCAAAATTAGGTCTCCCAGTAACACAGATAAAGGAGCACCATCAAAGAGGAAGCGTCCTATGTGCAGCTGGTGCATAACAGAGTAGAGGATTTTGTCTTGCCATAAATTAGTATTGAATGTGAGTCTCTATCATTTGCTGGAGAAGACTTAGAATAACCTTCTGACCATGTATCAGAAAGGCTAAATTCTTTCTGCTGGGAATTCAAGTGATTATCCTGGCAGTGTCGTCAAATTTGCACATGGTTACTTACTCTCTATGTCTTAAATTGATGCTGGAATTTAAAATGAAGAAAGTGGTTTGTAGCATTCCTCTTAACTTTGCCTGCATAGTATTATTAGTATAAGCTAGCTCCTTCTTGCCCTATATACAATATAGAGTCAGTTTTGTCTTTTTTATTTTTGAGATAATTTAAGACATGAAGCACAGTGAAAATACAGATTCGTATCAGTAAGTTTGCATATTTTCTTACATAGCACTAGTCTCTTCATGCACAACATTTTCCAAGTGCTGTAGTTATCTAAGACCAAGTTATATGTAATTGCATGAATTTTAAAGAAATATTTTATATATATAGAACTGGAACTTGTTCAGCCCTTCCACTTTCTAATGTTTAGCAGTCAAGTATTATGGGAAGTTAGATTTCATGATGGTCTAATCTTATTAATAGCTTCCTGGGATTTAGAAGTAAAAGAAGAAACCAGATGAAGAGTTAATCCTCTACTGTGTTCAAAGAATTATTTGTCATTTAAAAAAAGGCACTGTCCTATAATAACTTAGCTGATAAAATAAGTATGAAGTTGTAAAGCTGGTCTTCCACGCACAGGCTTTTTCTTTAAGTTTCTCTTACAGTCTTTCCCACAAATTCACAATTCAGTGCTTGAGATGTGTAGGAAGAAAACAAAGCCACTGTGACGTGCTTCCGTGTTCTCCGTATGTTGGCTCTCAAGTAGCTGTTAACTAGAAATTATGTGGAAGTGACAAAAATGGTAAAAGGTTAAATAAAAGCCATCCCATCAGTTTAAAGTCACGTATTTGAATCTGGAAACATTGTAGTTTAGGTGAATGGTGTCATAGTACCCACATAATGAATGGCAAGAGTAGCTCCAGCTCCTATCTTTATTTGCAACTGGAATTTCAGAGGTTGAAGAGGCAGCAGCTTTCCACGTTAGTGTTGTGATGGTTCATCTTGCCATCATCTGTGCCGTGTCCAGTTTATACATGTTTTGGCCTGGCTTTCATTCTGTAGAGCTTATGTTTCCAAAGGTCAAGTTGAAATTCCCTGACACTGTTATGTGAGATGATTAATTGTTATTGTAATTTTCATTATTATTCCTATTAAATAATTAATTGAAGTAACTATTGTTCTCATCAGCTTCAGTGAGGTCTGCACGTCCTCAGTATTCACATGTTGCAAAACCCTTTCTCCAAATTTCAGAGTTGTGCCAACAATGTAAGAACTGAAAGATGTTGCTTTCTAGATTGACTGAAGATGCCGGGATATATGTAGGAATTTTCTCTGTTTTTGCTTCTAAGAAGAAAAAAAATCCCCAACAACTGATTTATATCATTAAAGTGCATTCTCAGCATTAGAGAAAAACAAAGGCACAAGAAACCAAATTCGAAAAGTCATGCAAACAATTTCCCAGAAAGGGCCTGCATTTGAGCACTCTTCTTCTCGTGTAGTCTTGGGATATCAGTGCTCAGTGATGCCAGTGTTGTTTTTTAGAGATCTTTTTTCCTTCCTTGACTGATACCAGTGGCGTTTTTTAATAAGAACTCCTTGAAGATCTAAGGGTGAAAGGAAAAGCAGATTTTGCTTTAGCAGAAAGAAATAGAGATTCTGGAATCTTATTTAGCATTATATCATTAATCAAGTGTAATTTAATAACCTGCAGTCTCACAGGTAAAGAGCAGTAGTTGTTTGTGCGTGTCATCTTTTCTTCTAACTGTTCCTATTTATTGTTCAACCACAGAGGGTTTTAGAAAATGATGAAAACGCAGATGAAGTGAATGAAGAAGAGGATTTGGAAGAAGATATTCCAAAACGAAAGAACAGGCCAAGAGGACGGGTAGGTGCAATCAAATAGAAAGGAAGGAAGCAAGCTTCTGCTTTCTGGTGTATATTTTTAACATGTGTTGTATATGCAAAGTGTATATCCATGTAGGTAATTTTCAGTGATACAGTCAGATATATTTTTTTTTACTTTATTTTTTGCAAATTATAATGTGAAGAGACTACACTAAAAGTAAAAACTTGGGATGAATTATTTATGGTAACATATTTATAGTTTTTATGTATAATAATTATGGTGACATCCTGCTATTACAATGCTCTTATTCTAAAACAGCACTTACTAATTACAAAAAAAATAATACATTCAATCATGACAGCAAAAAAAAAAAAACAACCAAAAAACTATTAATAAAAGTAACTTGAACTGCATTCATATGTTTTGAAGCTTTCTCCAAGGTAGCGCTTTGTGGTTGACATTTTGGCCCTCTTGAACCCTTTGGCAAATCTTCCATTTGCTTAAAATGGGCAATATTATCCTTAGGGGAGTCTGCGTCCCTTCTCTTACCTAAGACATCTTTTCACAATTTCAGCAGGGCGCCAGTTAAGTAATAAAGCTAATGTTTTAAAACTTGGAATCAGCATTTTTAATTGTGGCCCCTGAAGCTAGGCATCTGAATAAAAATGAACATAATTCTCAGAAGTTTCAAGCATTTTCATCTCTCCTTGGTTCCAGTGGATGCTGCAGGGGCACAGGAGCTCTAGAAGTACCTTTGATGTGTTTGCAGAAGTCAAGCAAGAAGGGCCACATTTTAGGCCAAATAAGCAGGATATAATAGCTTTTGAGTAAGAGAGGGACATGAAACCACACTGAATGCTTACAATGTGCTTATGCATCAACCCTCTCTTTTGGTTTCTTCTGTTGTTGTATTGTTTCAGTTTTCTGCTCCTCTTTATTTTGGAGCTTAAATTCTTTAATATAAGATCAAAGCACTTTATTAACTGGATAAGTATATATTTCACCTTCCTTATTCTCAAAATCACCTGAACCAGTTTCTTTCTTTCTTTCTTTCTTAGCCAAAGACCCCCACCTGGAAAAAAATTTTCCAGAAAAATGTAAGTTTCAGAAAATTTGTATGAACCAGTAACCAAAATGAGGAGTTAGAATTGATACACGCACACAAGCTTGACTGTAGCTATCAACAAGTATTCGAGGCTAACAAGTATTTTCTAATAAGCTGCTCTCACATAAATTGTGCATGCGGATTAGGGTAAGTGAAGGGGAGCAAACAGCTATAAAAGCCTATTCAAGAGAAGGGAGTTAACTGTATGCATATATTTCAGGCCTACACAAACACAGTCCTGAAGTTGTTATGTGCAAAGTTCTACTCCCCTGTTCAGGAAACTGATTGAGGATATCTGTTCCTTTCTTTCTCCTGCAGTAGAGAAAGGAGTTGGAGAGTAGGTGTCCTGTTCATTTTAAAGCATATATTTACAACTTATTTCTGCCCTGGAACTGGCCCCCTATTAAGAACAGGAACAGCAGAATCTCCTTTCTTTTCTGTTGCTAGCTAACTCCTGCTCTGCTAGTGCCCTGGCTTCACTTGGTGCAAAAAAGAGAAGTTTGAAGAGTGCCAAATACTTTGAGCAATTTTCGTTTTTATTTGATGGCATCAATAGCCAAAGTAAAATGTGGTATGAATTAGGATTTTAAAATTAAGACCAGATTCCTAGCTGTTGAAAACTGGTAAGCCTGAACTGAAGCCTGAATTACATCTGTTCACGACTATTTTGTTGCTCTTCAAGCAAACCTTTTCAAATGTTAGCCTGACCCAGTGTAGGGAATCGGGAGTGAGGATTTGAAATTAGGGGATATGAAACTTGGGCAGCACTTTTGTTTCTGGGAAGGGAGGAGGTCAGGGCATTTTTAGAGAATAGAAGAGGGGAAGTATGTCTGTAGGAAACAAGATCCTGCAGATTGTGGCCTTTGGGAATTCAGAGGAGTGAGGGCTGCAGCATTGATAAAGGGTTAATGTGGCAGATCTGCTGCTTTGGACATTCCATTGGCCCTTCCTTTTCCTACAGCATGATTTTATTTTTAATCCTTTATTCCTCCCTCTGTCCCTCTGGCTACCCTCTCTGGCTGTTTGAGGACTGCTTCAAGGCTGCTGTGCCATGGCTCCCAGGCCTCACATGTGTCATTGCTTGTGCTCTGTCCTGTCAGAAAAATGAAGGCAATCATGGGTGACTGAATTCAACAGACCAGAATGCTGACAGCAAGCACGTGGCACTCCGTTGAGAGCCTCTGGTGCAGCTGTTAAGTTTGCTACCCCCTCAAAACTGGCCCTGACATCATAGGACTGTTAGGAAGGACGCTAAAGGCTGAAGGAATGGATTTAGAGAAGGAGCTTTTTAGTATCTGTGATAGACAAGCAAAATGGTGTAGGAGCTAGGAAAGACATTTCGCTAGGAGACAGGAGAGGAATGCAACTGCACCTTTAGAGACTGCAAGCTCCTCAGCTTAATATCCCCTAGACTTTTTCAAAGACACTGAATGTGTTTAGGAACCAAGTTCCCAGTGAAAGTCATTGACTTGAAAAATCTCCCAATGTGTTCAGTGCATGAAAAAGTACACCTGATGTGCGGTCATGACATGAATGCTGTACCCTTACATTTCTGTGGAGAACTGTTTGAAGGGGAATGGCTGGCTGCAGGACTAGTGAAACTCTGAGCAACAAACCTTAAATTGTCATCCTGTTCTGAAAGGTGTCAATGTAAAAATGAAATGTCTTTACTCAACAGACCTATTCTCAGCGTATAGAATCAAAACTACTGACTAATAACAACAACAGAAAAGACTTTACAGTTTATTCACAGCTCTGAAAAGCCAGTGCAGCCTGGTAGGATAGGGAAATTGGATCCTAATCCAGGTGCCAAAAGAAATATTTATTAAGAGACAATCAGTTGTGTCTGTGAAGACTCTCTGATGAGCTGAGGGTTGTACAGGAGCTGTCAGACACCTAAATTCAGCTTGCAGCACGTTTTGCAGTAGTGATTGAAGAAAGAAACTTGCCTTGGATTGATTTCGTAGCCCAGGGGGGATTTACAGAGCTGACAGTCAAAGAGAAAAATACTGTAGGCTAGTAAACTGATTTTTAATGTGATATGGTCAATGAAGTAGCTTCCACCAAACAATTGTTGTTTGAGTCCTTTTCCAGGGCAAAACTGCTTTTCAGTTCACCTTTTCAAATCTCACTTTGCACGTGTGTTGATCTGCACAGAGTTCCTTGCAGAAGGCAGAGCTATACTTGTCATGTCTAATAGTACATACCCTATCCAGAGACCTGCGAATCCGTGTTTTTCCTTCAGGACTGTGTAAAGAGACCTGAGAAATCCCAAGGAAATAACGTGAAGTTTTTCTAAATCCCTGTTTCGATAGACTGTGGTAAGGCTACTGTAAAACTTCCTTTGTGCTTCTCAAATAGTGCAAGGTCAGTACCAAATCCATAGAAGAGGGACATGACTGCTTAGTATCTAGGGAACTAATATTCTCAGGATTTCTACGTCTTCTCTGGCTTTACTTGATGAAGCTTTCTTGTTTTCACATGCAAAAGCTTGAAGGATTTGAGTCATCTGGCCTTGTCTAGGATGAGACACATCAACAATTTAATAAGAGGAGCAGCAAAAACCATTTTGTTGCTTTTAACCAGGAACAGAATGGCTGACAGTATTTCCAAAGGGCTACCTAGCCATCCACCTGCAGATCACTTCTTCACACAAAGATCAAGTCTTAAATTATTGTTATCCGCAGACAGTACATTAACATTAAACGATTAAGGGCTTGTCTCAGTTTCCAGTTGCACATCAAAACTATTCCCATTGAACAGATATGAACTGTCCCCTTGTTGGCATCTCAGCTGAGAAGGGTTAGGAACAAGTGGCTTTGATGCTGGATTCCATTCTTAACCCTAGAGCTCAGGACAGAGCAGTGTGTGCTGTGGAGAAACAGAGGTTTTCAGTTTCCAAGGCTGTCAACTGGCTGTGTTTTAGGAACACAGAACTGCAAAGAGACCTTTCTGGGTAATTCCAGTTCTTTGCTCTTGCAGGTAGCCATATTACCTAATCTTTCCCACTAACTGACTCAATTTTATAGTTAGCCACAGTATCTTTGTCCCAGTTAGAAGGCCCTTTTGAAACAGTGCTTTTTAGCTAGGAAACCAAACAAAGCAACTCCTCACCACCTCTGAAAATATTAAAGGAGGTAATTTTACCTCTGCTTTATTTGAGGCCTGTTTTCTGGTTAGTTTGAAAGTTATGCTTATCCTTTACCACCAGTTCATTTATTCATAAATTCATATTCAGTAAGAAAGCTATTTGAACTTTTTAAAAAATAGAAACGTAATGATGCTTATCTGAATATGTTCTGACAGTGACCTACTGCTAAGGATGAACAGTTGGGGTTATCTGTGGAGATGATCTCTGCTGCATTACAAGGTCTATTAACATAGTGCATATCTTAGGAGTTGAAGGGTCAAACCCACCGTTGATAAACCTTTACGGAAGCTGAGGGTTTGTTTAGTTTTTGCTGCACATTTTTCATAGGAGGGTGAGGGGCACCAGGAGAATTGAGGGGCAGGAGAATAATGTTAACATTCCTCTTCTTCTTGCAGGCTCGGGGATCTGGAGGTGGCAGGAGACGAAATGATGCTGCCTCCCAGGATGATCATGACAAACCCTATGTTTGTGACAGTAAGTAGCACCTAGACAGTGACTCCGCTTCCAGCCTGGTCCTGCCAGCTCGGTGCACTCTGGGTTCATCTTTTCTTTTCTATCAAAGTATTCTGCTGCTCTCTGACTTGCATGTTTGCCACCAGCTACTGCTGCTGCTCTTAGTGTGGGTTTTTTTGTTTTTTTGCACAAAGGAAATAAAGTCCTCAGCAAGAATCCACTTCCCTTTGTGCTGTAATAAATCATCTCTTCTATTTTCTTTCTCTTTCTCCTTCTCTTTTTCTGACTTCTAGGCTTTTTTCCTTCCCCCTGTGTAAGATTCACCCTCTATTTCTTTCTCTGTTCCAGGTAGTTACAAACAAAAGCATAACTCAAAAATCTCTGACAAAGGTATCTCACCCTTATATCACTTTACATACTTGGTGATTCCCTTCAGTCCTTTGGAAATCTCACTGGGCTACATTTTGAAGGTCTTATTTTCATCCCTTTTTTAGAAAGGACTCCAGTGGCATCATCAGGAGTTGAGCCCTCCTAAGAAAGAAACACAATTAGAATGCTCTGTTTTGATACATATTCCCTTTGAATGTAACCATGCTGTTTGACATCTTTCAGTGGGACTGTAGGTGAATTAAGGCATTGCCCAAACTTAAAAAGATACTGGAGTCCTATATATGAAGAAGGAGCCCAATATTTGGTACACAATATTTTTTTATTATTATCTGGTCCTCAATGCCTTTCTTTTTGTTACATTCTTTTTTGCTTCACTATGTCATGTCTGGGAGGGGCACTTGCCTTAACCATGTGCTTTCAAGATTTCTCATCTTAAGACCTGCTAAGAGTGTACGTGCAGTAAAAAATTTGTACTAGTGTGTTCTATCATACAAAGCAACAGCAACATAACAAAAATTAATAGAAGTAGGAGAATAACAGGAAGTCTTAACTTTTTTGACCTAAAAGTGATTGAAGGTTTTGAGAAAAATTAGAACACCCCTATCTCCGCTGTTTAACTACCTTGCAGTGATACTGACCTTAAAAGACTAACCACTACTATGTCAGTCTCTGAGTATTTTCTGCTTATTTTAAAAACATGAAGAAACATGAACAGGCATTGTAAATGAAACCTATATTCCATATGGTCAAATAATCTTTCATAGTGAGACCGAGTGACTGCATAGTGCAGTGATGAACATGTTGGGTATATTGCTTCAGCAAGGTGAATATTCTTAGCGCTACTGGGAATGAGTAGAAGTGGAGAGACTTTCACATAAATGGAAGTTTCTGAACTGAAGAGGAAGAGCTCTTTACAGTTTGAAGGAATGGGAGATTTCTACTGTAGTTAAATAGCTGCTCTTGTTTGTTGGATGAACTACAGTCTGTCTCCAAAGGATTGTCTAGGAGGCCACTCTGTATCTCGTTGATTTCCACAGCTTTCTTCTGCTGGTATACACAGAACCATTTTCACCACCTTTCTGGAAAATCCCTCTAAATCCAAGGACACTTGTCAATAGTGCAGTTGTTCCAAGCGTAATGTCTCTTTACTGTCTGATCTTGTTCTGCTTTTGGAGAGAACTCATGACGTGCGTAGTAGTGATTTGCACTAAGTAGATAAAAATCTAAGATTCCAAAAGCGGCTGAAATCTGAGCTGAAGTCTCTGTTTTGGTACATCATTGTACTGACGGAATTTTGCCTTGGCTTACATTTTGAAGCGTAAATTTCCTCTTTGGTTTTGGAAGTTTAAACTTTCCTATTTCGTTTGGCTGATACTTTTCATTTTTAAGAAACATGTAGTCAGAGGGTGAGTCATAAGGAATTCCAGAATCCAGATTTTACACAGTAAATACTTCATTTTCCACTGTAGATAGCTGAGAATAGGGTTATGTATTAGCAGAACCCTTACCTGATTGTCCAGCAGAACTGTTGCAATTGCAGTGCCATCAAGAACTGCATCCAGCTAACAGTGCCCTTTGTGTGTAAGACAGCAGTAGTATTTCTGAAGTGGCCTACTGTTGTTGGAAGAAGCATTCAGCAATACACAAAAATAAATACATATCCCAGTATTAAAGCTGACTGGAAATTTGGAATCTCTATACTGAGTGATCTTTTCAAAGCTCTCAAATTTTATGTCATCTGATGTTCTTAAGAAAAGGTGGAACCTCTGTTTAATTGTTTGCTTGCTTTGTGGAATTAAACTTCAGTTAATTTTACTGAATATTTACTGTATCAGAAGTTCAGAATGAAATATCTGGTCATTCAAAGCTGCTAACATAATCATGAAATTCTTTATCTTATTAAAATGGCAAGTGGAAAACTAGTTAGCCAGATTTTCACCAGCTGCACTGGACAGCATTGTGCCTTGACCAATCTTAAGAAAAAAAGCTTGGATAACAGAAGTGGCAGGAAAACCTGGTGTGAGATGGGTATAGGCAGGAAATGGTACCACTGCAGAATGATCAGCTGTTGTATCATAGCAGACCCAAATGTAGCCTGAATACTTGGGTAAAAGACAGAGCAGATGCCTGAATGGACAGTGAAAAGCAGGCTTGAGGAACAAAGCAAGATCTGTGCTGTCAATTCAGAGATGCTGAAGATACTCTATCACAGCTGTTCAAGATAAACTGGGCAGAGGATTTTAAAGGAGGAAGAGCTTGAATGAATGTTACATACCTACATGTGCAACAAGAATTGATTTTGCGTAGTTGCCAAATGATATACTGGGGAACCATCATCTCGCCAAGTCTTTTAGTTTTAGAAAGTCATTTTACTATTTTCATATTGCGTGTTATGTATTTTCTTTTTCTGGGGGGGGGGAGGGGAGCGAGCATATCTGAAGTTCTATCTAGAAATTTGTTTTCTGGTTTAAAAGTTGCAGTCAGTTGTAGCACTAGAACTTCAGGACTCTGGATGTCTACTTCCTTCAGCTATGCTACTTTCTTTGTGCTGAATCTCCAGAAGTTACCAACTTTCCTGCTGCCCATCCTCATTTGCCTGCTTTCATTCTTCTCATTTTCTCCCTTTCCTGTTTTCATCTCATTTCCCTACTGTGACTTACCGACACACATAATTACTTCCACCTTTGTTTTCTCTCACTCTGTGGAAAATTTCCCTGTCCATCTCTAAAAGACGTTGCTTCTTTCTCTTTGGTTCCTTTTACCTATATATCCTTGTCTCCTTTTAGTTTTATTTCTGTACATACTGTAATTGTAGAGTAACAACTTACGTTTGTATGATAATCTTTATTTATAGTTCCTCTGAGGCTGTGATATGTATTCACATCCATTCCTTGTCCAAAAATGAGAATTGACCGAAATCTTCTTATGATCCCTGCTGGATCAGTGACTAATGCAACCTTAGACATATCTAGAAACACAGATCCCTACAGTCTTTTGTCGAAGCTGGTTCTTTTGTCAAAAACATTTTTGTTTCAGGTTTCTCTAGATACTTAAAGTGAATTTTCTCTGCTATCTCCTTTCTATGTCTGAAAACAGTTACTGTGGCTTCTTTCAGCTGTGTTTTCTTCAGATCTTTTAATAAGCTTGTTTCTTTTCTCTGAAATATCTTCAAAGGATCTTATTTAAATAGCAGTGGCCAAAACTAAGTAGAAGGTGCTGTTCTGAGTATGAGGCAGCTCAGAAGAAAGATAAATGACTGATACATTTATATGTCACTTATATTTACCTATAGAACTTGGATTTGTGCCAGTTGCTCTGTTAGATACCTATGAGAGGTACAGAGATGGCTGATCTTTTAGGTTATTTAGTAAACCCATTTGCAGTGCAGGACACTCATCTCCAGTGCTATGCTTTCATGTTTCAGTGGCAGAGCTTTCACTTATGTCCACTGTATGAGTTTGTATTTAATAGACCAGTTGCTATAATTTCTTGTTCCTTTGCTGACCCACCTATTCCAACTGAGGCTGAATATCTGTTATCTTTAGTTTTCTCATTATACTGCCCTCTCCTGTTTATACCATGTTTTACTGATGTTTTACTAGATGTCATATTAATATTTACTAATTATTTTACTGTTTGAAAGAATTTTTGATTGATAAAGCTTGAGTGATATATTTTTAATTACTATTCCAAGATTTTCTCCAAGAATCAGTTCTCTGCATGTTTGATTCTTTCACTCTCTATTCCACCCTGCAAATTAATTGTAAAAATAGAGGCAAGCATTGGGCCCAAAATGGACTCTTTCAGGTACTTGAAGATGCAGAAAATGGCTTGTGAAGTTTTCAAAAGATTAGGCTCCTAGTTCTCGCTGATTTCCACCAGAGGTAGGCTCTTAAAATGTTTTCTGTAAATGTACCACTAAGTGCCTATCTGCTTGTATTGTGCCTGTAGATCATATAAAGCTTGGTCTCTTGGTGAACACTTTGAACTTGATGATGAGCTAATAATAATTATTCAGAACATGTTTTTGTTTATGAAAATGTTTGACTGTACATTCAAATCATTAGAATTTGAAACAGTCCCCTGATTTTTCTGCAAGTTCGTCAGCTGGCAGGGTATTGAAATTCCAAGCTTTAAGGTTATTTTTTTCTTCTCCATTTCCTTTCTCCATTAAACGTATCACAGATTCTGCCAACAAATGCTGGAATTCTACTGAGTTTCAATGGGAATTAAGAATCTCTCTCTTTAAGGTTCTTTTAAAAAGTTAATTGTTATGTTGTTCTAGCAGTACTTGCCAAATGTATTTCTTTGAGGCCTACTCTTTAGGAACTATTTTCCTGTATATGATCACGAAGTGACTCCTCTAGTAATTACTTTAATAACTTCACTTGCCTTCTTTCTTCTCTCCTTGAAGTGGACTGGATTCTACTGTACTCTTTTTAAAAATTAACTCATTGATTCTCTGGGAATACCAAAGACTTGCAAGGTAAATCATGATGTAGGCTGATTTTATATTTTCTGAGACTTAATCTGTTGTCTTAATTCTCACTGATATTATGAATGAGTCAAGCACTACTACTGCTGGTTCTTAGAACAGAGCTTCAGTTAAATACCATGATGACAAGCTTATT